AAGGTTTTAACGAGACAAATATTTTATACTATGTGATTAAAGGGAATGTTGTAAATGGTTAGTTACCGTTGAATGTGCAACCCTAGAAGTTATTATCATATATATCCATAATCATTCCCTATAAATATAATGCTTTGGTTCTCATTATAATACACACAAATTTATTGACTTTTGTTCTCTCCTCTTTTTCTCTCTTCTCACAACTTTTTAATTAAGCATTTTTCAATGAAATATTATTACACGCAAATTTAAAATTTTTCAATACTTTTTAAACACAGATTCTCCATCAATTTATTATTTCAAAATGAATTCTTAACCAAAAAAAAAAAAAATGGAACTCAAGCGGAGCATAGTGTACAATGAAAAAAGAAAGTAATAAATATAAAAGGAACATTGATTAGGACTTACTATATTTTGGAATTGATCGCATGTCCCCGATACATGAGATAAAAACTTCCCACTTTTAATGTGGCAAGTAGGACTGAACAAAAATCAACCAAAATCGACCGGTTTAGATTGATTTTTAAGTTCAATTGGATTGTGTTGGAAAATCAGATTTGTGGCCAAGGTGGGTTAGATCTCGGATTATGAATTAAAATCCAACTCAATCAAATGAACTTAAAAAATTTAATACTTAAAATGGAAAAAGCCTAAATAGACACAATGGTGAAGACAATAAGATTTAGAGTGTACAAATGTCCCTTTTTACATAAGTTGACTGATATGAATATTATGTACAAATGCAAAATAATTTAACGATAACTAAAAATTAAGGATGTTGTAATGAAATAAATAAATTCCGAAAAAAAAATTGTAAAAATAAAATGCTCCATAGTTTCAAACTTATTTATACATTATTTTTCATAAAGATTTCCTTATATAGGTAAAAAACGACGAAAATTTTCAAGTGATTTCAAATATTAAAAAATTGTCTAAATTAAAAAAAAAATTAATCAAATCAAACTTGAATTGTTAGAGAACCATAATTAAGGTTCTTTTTGTCATATCAACATTATGAAGTTTTTATCCTGCTTATTGAGGGTAAGGGGTAAGACTTGTACTATATCTTAATATTCAAATAATACAATTATACAAATTGACGAGTTTGTTTAAGATAAAAATTGGGCTAATTAAAATTCGATAAAGTCAAACGTGAAACGGAAACGTTTTTGAAATTCTTGTAATAAGAATTATGTAATAAATAAACTATATTTGAACAATCATGTCTCGTATATATTGAATAATAATTGATTATTGCTGAAAAAATATACAATGTCTTTATATTTATAAATAAAATTATTCTCTAATCTTATTAATATAAAGAAACTAAATTATAGAAGGAAATAAACTAAAATTTTAATCTAAAAGAAATTAGAAATTCTATTTTAATTAATAAATAAAAGAAATCATATTCTANGAAACTAATAAAATCATAATCTAATTAAAAATCCTATGCTAATCAATAAATAAAAGAAATCATATTCTAAATAAAATATTAGAAAAAAAAAAAGATAAAACTTATTACAACTAAATATCTTATTATAGATATCTAATCATAACCCTATTTACAATAGGATTGTCCTATAACAATCTCCCCCACTTGAAAAAAACTAGTCCTCGGGTTTTGTCGAAAAGAAAGAATCCTTAATAACTTGTGTGTATTCGAATTTGGTTGGAACTCAAGGAAATTCTCTAGTCCGTGTTGTTATGTTCTATATTTGTTAAAACAATCAACATTCATAGCAGTTAAGGTTTGCAAATTCTTGTCAGGTTGCTTTTCTATGAACTCACGATTCCTTTCAAAACTCAATGCAGTCAACATCTAAGTGATGTTGTGAAGGGTTTCATCGATTCCATTGATTCATTGTTCAAGTTTGTTGAGCCTCCATTCATTGTCGACGGTTAGACTGCCATCAGATTAAGGCAATTTCCTTACTCGATACCAATTTTAATGCAAAAGCGTTTATAAATTTTTGTAATAAAAATTATGTTATAAATAAGAACGATATTTGAATAATCATATCTTGTATATATTGAATAATACTTTATTGTTGTTAAAGAACGTACAATGCCTTGTATTTATAAACAAAACTATTCCATAATCTTATTACTATAAGGAAACTAAAATTTAAAAGGAAATAAACTAAAATCTTAATTTAAAAGAAATTCAAAATCATATTCTAATTAATAAAGAAAAAAAAAATCATATTATAAACAAAATATTAAAATAAAAAGATAAAACTTATTAAAACTAGACATTTTATTATAAATATCTAATCAGAATCATATTTATGATAAAACTGTCCTACATCAAAATGAAAATTGAAATTTGAACTTGTATACTAGTTTGGACCACATTGTTGAACGATACGGAAATTTTTGTCGTTACCTACATTTTTTTCCCTTTTCGTAAATCTATAATAATTTTTTGTAGCTAAAGAAACTTATCATTTATGGTCTTTTATTTATAATTTACTACGTATTGAATGAATCAAGAGAACAACAACAATAATAATAGAACTTTGGAACTTAACATCAATTGTCAAAAATAGTGTATCAAAAGATATTTCAAAACTAGTTAATCGTATAATAAATTAGTAGAATATTTTGATTTAAATTTTCGATTTGATTATATTCTAAGTTATTTTTAATACTTAACGGCACTTAATAAGTTGTCTTAACTACAGATCAAATTATCACGTAAATAAAATTATCAAAAATTAATTTTTTTAACCAAAAATTTCTTTAATATTCATATCCCAGCTTTGGTAAAAAAATAATATTGTTATGTAGGATTATAATTAGAATACTCTTTTCTAGATTTGGAAATGTTCTCCAGTTTACGATGGGCAGGATAAGACTACTCACTTGCTGATGTGACAGGAGAACCCAAC